TTGTACATCCACGGAATTATCATACTTTACAAGCCAATTTCCTGAAAAGATCAAATTCATGATGCAAGCGATGAATTGGAATGGGAAATAACTTACTCCGATATATCGGCCGATCTAAATAGGAGGCCCCATGGCCTCCGAGGAACATAAGCACCAATGTTTACCCTCGCTGGTATGCTGGACGCGCCGATTGAGCTGTCAAGTTCTAGATTACTTTTGTCATAAGCCATAACCGTTCCTCGTGTCTTAATCTATGATCGGGCGTGCTCGAAGTGCGACGGTATAGTGTGCGGTTACGTTTATCTGACACTCGGCACTTGTCTCGTGAATGAGGTTCACACGAGACTCTAGATTGATCGTTTCGCTCGTTTAAACATGTATCATAGAGACACCGCGGCGTCGTATTAATTTTCTCAACAAAATAAATCCATATTGTCTATCTCCCTCGTTAATCTAAATATGTATGTAATGCCTCAACGCGATTTTTAACGCTTCGATACGGCACATATAAATTAAACAACTAAACTGAGCCTTGTCGCGGCCTTGATGGAAAGTTTGCGTAAGTCTTTAGAGAAAATATATTCTCTTCGCGTCTTGAGAAAAAGGTCTATCTTTAATATTTCAAATAACAGATTCCATACTTTACATACTAAATTAAAATTAACCACCAAGATAATTCGGGAGGTAAACCGCTAAGAACAAAGTTGGGTTGTACAGATTTGGAGTAGGCACCACTGGGCATTACTTAAGAAAATTATGTATTATAATAAGCGGTATACTAGATTAAGCATTATACTAGGGTATTAATGGGCATTATCAAAGCATTAATGGGAATTACTAAGACACTAATGGGCATTACTAGAGTATTAATAGGCATTACTGGGCATTATTTAGGGATTACTGGGCATTAGTAGGCATTAGGGTACACAATTTTGGTCAACGGTTTACTTCTCGAGATAATCATAAGAAATTTATTTACCAAGGATATTCAATGAAATCAATAAAGTTCCATTATAAAGAGTGAACCTGCTTAATTAATCTTTAAGAAGAAACTTATTTTTTATCAGGAAACGACGCTCGTATTACGTTGACTTTTAATCTACACGCGAATTAGAGATCAATTTTTTGAACATCTACCTGTCCATTGTATTCAACGCGCAAACAAATCATTTTAAATTACAAAATGTCAAATGTCAGTCATAGATGGATTGTAGACATCGTGTCAAGAACGACGAATATTGCGGTTTGATAACCGACGAATGGAAGAAATAATGTCGCAATAGCATCTGTCAATACCACGCCACGAATGCGCCGCATTATTGCGGTAACATCGTAAACGTGTCGATGGAATTTAGCCGTGTACTCTTAGACTTTATTATGCCAACTGCGTCGATTGAAGTCTCGATTTAAATTACCACAGTCGCCCTTTGCATCCCGCGGGATCGCAGTGCAGTGTCTTAATCATCGCCGTGACACTATTGTACTTGCAAACCCGCTTGCACTTCCGCAGATAGCTATTAATCGCCAACGATGATTAATGATTTGGTGGCGCGAACTCGATTTTCGACGCCAACGACTCAATACATGATCGATATGAGTATAGTTCATTGCCAAAGAAAAATGATTAAAAAGACGTTCGGCGAAAAAAGGGACGTTATTCATCAGAGACTGATTGCATCTAAAGTATCAATAGATATGCAAAAGAGTAAAACTATTCATAGAACTTTTCATGAGCGTGAATCCAGGATATCAATCGGGCGAGGACAGCAAAAATTTATCTTCATATAAAACTTATTAATCTTTAGAGGAAGAGGGGGCTTCTATTTTTTAAATCTAAAGCTTTTCCTCTCTTGAATAAGATTTATTATAATTTATTATTTCATTGTATTCCTTGTCTCAAGAAAGTGTTTCAGCGCTAGTGACTTTTCCGTCTTTTGTAAAGATCAAAATATACTTATATTAGGTAAAGCTATATATCCGAAGTCTTCGAAAATCTTAATACTTAAGAAAACAAAACTTTCTTATTGTTAGTACTTAATATTAATTAGGAATAATAAAATGCGTGAGTTATACATCGGCCAATGAGTGTTTAACTCTTCGTCGTAGAAATAATTTTCATAATTTAATTGGTTCTTCTTGTTGAAATGAAAAAGGGGAGAGCAAGAACCTTTTCCCTCCTTACATACGTCCTTGGGATTTTTCCTGATTTCGTAACTATTACAAGATAAAAAATCAAGAAAGTAATTACAATCCGTACTCCGTATATTCCGTGTAGTTTATTTCTTCTATACGAAATAATTCTCTCAACGAAGAGTTATTCATCGCTATAAAATATCGCGGGATAACTTGACCCGTGAAAAAACTGAAGAATTAAGCATCGGTCGACGTGCAACTGCGCGGAACGACGCCGAGCCGATCATTACCAAAGAGAATCGATTCGCTCGCCGCGTGGAAGAAATGAAGTTATAGCCCCGGAGATTCTTCCGAGTCGTAAAACACGTTACTCACGGGACGATCGATGAAAATCGAATGCAGGTATTGCGAGAGACAGAGGCCAGACACCGCGGCTGCAACCGCTTGCCGTTTATACGAGAACACATCGAATGACATTCCGGACGTCTCGCATAAATCCGTGGAAACGCGTGCGACGTATCTCGCCCACGTTATGCCCATAATTGCGACGAAACGACCAATCGACGCGATCAGTCTCTGGAGGCCATCTTGTGGAAACGAAAAGTGCGCAAGAAGAAAAAACGTGGAAAAAAAGAAGACGAAGAAAGAGAAGGGGAGCGCAAACGGAATCCACTTTCCAGCGATCGATCGGTCGACCGCCCACGGCACCCTCCTTCATCTCGTCGTAATCATCGATAAACTGTAGCACCGCGTCATTAGTCGAGCATTCCGGAGCTGAATATTAATGCGAGCACAAGCGATTTCGTATGTAATCCGGCTGTGTCGGCTGCGTATAGATCCGCTTCGAATTAATCACCGTATTACATCAAACGCAACACGGATGTGTTTCCTACGCGATTACAGTATTCAGGTGTCTGGTGTATTTTAACGAAGAAAAATAAATCAACAAGGTTTAACTGCTATAATTCATAAAAATTATTAGAGATTTTAATTAGAAGAAGAAAGTGACTTCAAGATGGAATGGCAAACTTACCATAAAAGTATAATTAAAATTCTTAAACATTTTTCAAATGTTTAATAGTTTGCTTTTTTCGGTAATAAATTTAAGATTCATATGAAGAAATAAATAAAAAAGGTAAAAAAATCATGTCTTGTTAGCGACTTTTTAGAACGAGAGATAATTCTTTCTCCCTCGACATCTCAAAAGAAGCTTCTAGCCTTTGGATAAATGAGCGGATAAGCAACTGCTCGGTGAGCTATTTTAAGAACAATACCTGAGATACCTCACTGTAACTACTTAAAGAATAGACACACATTTACTCGACGTGTTAGAAAATAATAGATAGGAAATAATTTAGATTTGCTTATTTTGAAAAGATATGCTTATCTTACGTCATAAAGTGTTTAAAGTTCTTTGTGTACGTAAAAAAGGGGAAAAAATGAAATAATCAACATCGATTTATCTGTCAGGCACATATGATGTAACGAGTTTCACGAAAAGCATTCCGTTGCGCATGCCGACGCGTTTGAATCAACAGAGCCGACGAAGTGTCCTCTTTGTAATTTACGCGAAACGGATGGGGGAGTTGCACGGCGAGGATCCGTAGTAAATTTGAAAAGGTCATTTTCGCGCCCGAGCCGTCGAACGGTGGCAAATTACCGTCGAACGATTTCACGGCGGCGGCCGCTTAAATGTCGGTCGCCGACTGACAGCCTAACGATCACGTGGCCGAATTGATGACTACCGTTACCTTAATCACAGGTCGGCAATCCCGGCTAACAAGTTAAGGATCGGGCCCGCGTATAGTCACGTGTTGCAACTACACGGGCCATCGATCAGAAGTGCCCGGGACGTTCTCGCGACCGCGGCTATTATGCCGATTTCTGCGTGTGTCCGACGCTCTGCGACCCGGCGCAGTAAAAATATCCGACAATAAACCCGAAAACGATCCAATCACATCAGAGAACACTGAGAAAGTTTTGGTTAAACCAGTAAAAATTCCCAACCAGATTGGTATTTGGCTAAGGCAAAACAAAATTTCTGGTTATCATAATTATATCATAATCTAATTATGACCTCTCTTTTATTCCGATTGATTGATCTCAAAATATTACATTCTGATTGAACCTATTTGTTGGTTTAGCCAAAACATTTTTTTCTGTATAGATATTAAAAGCGGGAAATTTTATTTCAGGTCCTGAATTAAGATTCTATTTTTTATATATAATCTATTGAAAACTATTTTGAAAAACAAAACTGCTATCAATTCAGATGATATTTCATTCGTCACTGTTGAGAGAAAAATGTTTCGTATTTATGATCATAATTGTACAAAATAATTATAGCTATGAGCTTCATTTTTATAATTATTATTGCTGCAAATGTTAGTAATAAAAATTAAAATTATAATTCAATAAAAATGTATAATTTGCACTTAAAAATAATCGTAAATTAAATTTGTAATTATTCTTTTCTCTCAGCATATAATTCATTAGAAAATTTCTATTCTTAAAATGTTAACCTTTGCGCAGGAAATATTCCATTTCATACAGAAAACTAGAAATGTTGCAATTTATTTCACGACTAAACCTTCACATGAAACATCACTCAAGTTCATGAAAACTAGAAACGTCCTGTAACATATATTTCTAAACGCACCTGTAATTTCTTTTAGGACGATTACAGTTCACATAGTTCTCTCTGGTGATCGTTTCTTCTCGGAGAGATCATATCTCGGGATCAACCAGACACGACTCTCTGTAAATCGGACTCTCGTTGCGTCGCTAATGTTGTCGTTATCGTGTCGCGTTTCGAAAGATTGCGCACACACGGCTAGTTGCGGAGCTCACGCAGTACCGCGCATTACGCTCGGCGGCGTTTGTCCGACGTGATCGGCGCAAACGAGGAGATACGTTCTCGTCCGCTTGCCGGTTTATCTGCGATCTACCGATCATTCGTAAAGGCGCGTCTTTGTACGACTTGGAGGATTCGATCGCATCTTTCTCCTCGCCGCTCCGCGTGTTCACTTCTACATAACATTGCGCACGACTGACGTCGTTTGCCGTCATAGTTTCGACGCTTGTTGACGATGTCGAAGCCATGTTATTCTACAGAGCGGAACATGCCGCCATTTTTTGTACCCTTACTTCATTGTTTTGTAATTGCAAATAACGTCACGAGAGCGAGGTTGAGAGCGAAACTTCCTTATACATCTATCTTGCAATTTTTTTAAATGTCTATGACATCACGCACAAAATTCTCTTGAACGTATTTCTAAAAATTAATCCATAACTCTTTCTTTTAAACTGCTTTGTATTAATTCGTATACTAAAAGAAAAGTGTTTGTTATTTGTAACTAAATTTAATATATTTTATATATTTCTTTGAAAATACTAAGTAAACATTTACTCACAGTAAATAAATATTCATTTACAACTATTCAAACAAATATTTATTAAAATTTAGTATCTTTTTGAGTATACTACAGTTTATGAAATAGTTACTAATATAACTATAATAATAACTAATTTAACTAGTTATTATATTGTAGTTATTATGACAGTGTATAGTTATTGTAAAATTAATAACTCTTACAATGTATTATATATTTGTGCTTTTTTTTTTTTTAATTTGTGTCCTACGAGATTTAGATCCCACGTGAATGGGGAACTTCGATGTTGGTCGAGAGGTGGATCCTAATGAGAAACTATACTTAAAGATCGACGTTAGGTTCGAGAGATCGAACAATTAAATCCGCTGTTGTGGGTGTGCGAGGACACTGCCGCAGATGCCTCGGGTAATTTCTCTCTCCCGTGTCGATCGCGCGGCGACGTTGGTTGCACAATAGCGCGCTTTACGAAGGCTCGACTACGAAAACGACACGAGGAGATCCATCAATCCGAGGCCGGTCAGCGTGTATCTCTCCCCGATGGACGGGAGAGTATCGATCGTATCGATCCCGCTTGTCGAGGCGCGCGTAGGTACGCGCGAGTCCGACGAAAGTATCGGGATTCCTGTCTGCTCGCTTGACCACCAGAGGCGATTCCCGCGTCTCTCCCACTTCTCTTCCCGCTTCACCGTCGCTTCCTCTCTCTCTCTCTCTATATCTTTGATCCAGCTCTCCGCTCGCGGATACGTACGAAGCCGTCGAGATCACAGGCGGCGACTTTCCCACGACCTTCTCGCCTAGGTTTTCATCAATCGTGATAACAGCCGCTTTCTGTCTAACAGTGAATTCTATCACTTGTATTATACTAGATTAGTGCATACTGAAAGTTATCATACAGAAAATTAGCAAAGCAAAACGTAAAAACAAATATTTTTAATATCCAATTATATATAGGTATGTTAGAACATACCTATATTGTATTGTCAAAGTTGATTATATTCTACCATTGTCAAAGTTGATAGATTATGCTATTTAGACTTTACTTTCTATAGCAGCCTTTAATGTAGAGTAGTGCGAGTGATTGAATTCACCATAAAGCCCGAGGACACAATTGAACAGTACAGGCAATGGGAGAGAGAATAGAGAATAATAGATTTCAACTCTATCAGAAACTGTGTATTTTGGTATGTGTTATTGAAACTTGTTACTCTCTGTTTCCATTGCCTGTGCTTTCCAATTCAATATCTCAGGCTCCTCTTTGACGCGTGTTTCAACACAGTTCTGTACAACGATACAGCGATAAGTCTAATTGTCCGACTGTTTCGATAAAACTGGTCCCTTCGCCTAGGGCTACCTGTTAGCAACTGAATTTATTCGATTCGTCAGCAACGCACCACGATTAATAATCGACAGAATGCCATGCGATAGATAAAAACCCTGCCTCCTGTATTTATTGTACGTCATCCATCATGCGTTTATCGCAAGTGTTCGAACGTACAGCCGCACTCCGCAGGAATATGAAGCTATAGATTATACGCCACGTGGTCCATCGAACCGCGTTTTTTATCTCGATCGACGCTCTTTCGATCGAGCCCGCGTATCCCCCGGATATGCGATATCTCCTCACCGGACCTCTCGTGAGTGTGTCCCTCCGAGAATCGCGCGGCGATATTAACCCATTAACGTTTATAAATCGTCGCCGAGCGACGCGTGAGTTGCCTGCGGAGTGCGTTTCGCGACATGCATTTCCAATGCCGAATATCATATGGGCTTCTGTATCGATCTCGATCAGGGGCGGGCAACATTCATCAGGAAAATAGAAAGTAAAAAACCTGATGAGTCGGCGTTATAAAGTATGTAATTACATTTCTTGTTGTATAATATGTTACTTTGTTAAATCAATAAGTGTAATTAATGTATGTAATTTTGCAGTGATATCTAACATGATGTAAAGGACCGTATTCTATTTTATAAAAACAAAAATATATAAAAATATATAAAATGTATAAACAAACGAAAAGGGTATGACCATCACTTTCTCACGATCGTTCGGAATTAATCATTTTATTCCTATCTTCTTATGTGCTTTTTTTTCATAAAAATCAAAAATTGTTATAATAATGACGCTATAAATTCAAGAAAAAATTGGTACACTAAAATAAAAAGTAAAATCCTTATTCGGATTGTTACGAAATTGCTATTAGTTATTATTCAATTATTTAAAAATTTATTCTCAAAATTGTTGATCCAACTCTGAATTAGTTTTTAAATAATTAAAACTTAACTGACTACGATTTGGTACTACCGTGTGAATAAGGATTTTATTAACTTTCTTTCAACACACGCAGATATATACAATATGTTAATTTTTTGTTGAAAATGTAGCGTCATTAATATGATCATTTTCCATAAAGAAAAGTACATAAAAATTAAAAATAAAACAATCCCCGAATGATCGCGGTTGCATCTTCCTTCCTTGTAGAAAAGAATGTATAACATAGCATTAAAAAAAAAATTTCCCATAAAGTACATCCTGAATAAAAAAATTGCTTATGAATTTTAAGTAAAATTTTTTTTAGCGAATCCGTACCTGCTGCCCAACAGCATAGAGGATGGCGGGAAGAGAACAGAGAAAGAAGAATGACGCACGAGCACGTCAGAAGGTGGAAGAGACCGTGTCACGTCTGCGGAACCACTGCGGAAATGCCTGCTCGTGACTCGTCGAATGTCACGTGTCGCGTGCTATCGTGCTTCGCGACAGACGATTATTTCCCTTTCGTCTTCTTATTACGCCTGCGCGTCTCAATGGTCCCCGAATAAAGATGTCTGAAATTATGAGGACTCCGTCGAGGTAATGGCATACGTATAAAAATAACGTATTTGCAATCGCGTGCCCGTACCACGTTGCGGAATATCCTGGCTTCCTTTAATCGGCTTCCTTCTCGAGGCGTACGCTTATACCGTTATGGCGCACGTTACATTCGTCGTCAACAACCACGTTGTCGAAGATAATACGCTGCAACGAGGACGAGAACGTCGCGCGTTTGACGTTAAAAACATCTCCGGGCGGGAGGCCCCGTCGTAATTAATACGTTGCCGGAAAATACGCTCTTACTTCACTTGCGTCGGATAAAATGAATTATCACCGACAATTATTATCGAGTGAAATACGACAGGAGGGGTCAGACGCGAGGTGAGGCGCGTGACAGCCGACAATTATTCCTAATGCGCGCCTTCTAAGCGGCCGGCCGAAAGGTGAGGAAGAGACGCGTGAAACGAACGGGAAGGGAGAGAGAATGATCGTAATTATAATCTTCAAGCGGGCTTTCAATCGGGAAATTATTCGGCGAAAGACATTCTTCGCAGGCGACCGTGCCGAATAAAAAGTCGAAGACCCTATATGTACGTCGATATATAAGCGAGCCCATTTCTATACAATAATATCGATAATAATAGGACCGATCAAACGACACAGACGACGAAATTTCCGGTGAGAGCGACGTGATTAATCATTATCCGTCGTCTACGAGCGGATTAATTAGTGGATTCGTCGAGCGACGGTACGTCGAATGCCAAGAACACGACGAGGAGCTCTAGCTGTACACCGGGATGTTATTAATTGATCACAGACAGGTACTAATTGCGCCTCTATCGTGTCGGAAAACAAGCCACGCTCGCGCCCGCACGTGCGTTGTAAAGTCAAGTTTACTGATTTACGAGTCCCTCAGTTCCCGTGACGCTAAATGATCCGCGGATCGCACCTTTCCGTCATTCCGGCTGCTACAGATTATCATTCTCAGCTTAATTCTTGTGTTATCAGCCACAAGTCATGCTTGAAACGCAGTTAATAGGCGAGAAGTGTCTGAAACTCAAATCTTTTCCATTTTTTATACGAGAGAAAACCAGAAAATAAAATGAATTCTCGTATATAAGGTGTTGAAAAAAGCATTTATATGATAGTAAAAAACCTTAGTGAACATATAAATTAAAAGTTCAACCGTTTCTGAAATATAAAAAAACCATTTTGTATGTTAGTATATAATTGACTTATTCCTTCTTCTACGTCGTTTGCATACGACGTGGAAAGAGAAAAATTGAGGTATAAGTAGCACACTAATAGCTAATTTAGGAAAATTCCAGGTCCAATAAGGTAATCTCCCATATAATGCCCACCCAATCGGTTGATCGATAGCAATTTACTAATCTTCGTTAAAATTATAAAGTAAAATGTGTGGAAATTAAATCAGACCGTATTCAATTCAAAACGTAGTTTGTAAAGACTAAAAGGTTTTATATAGGAGAAGTTAAAATTTTTATTGTCTTGGAAGTTTAGAAAACAACGCATATATGGCTTCGAAAGCAATAAAAAATCTTTGCAGATGCAATCAGAAAACTTTGTGGACCGGTACATCAAATGAGTTGTAAAGCTGGATGATTATATTGAGAAATAATATCGTATATATTTTAAAGAGTCAACTTATTCAGATTTAAAGTATTGTTCTAAGAACATGGATATAAAACGGATATAAAACGATAAGCCCTCTACAGAAACTTGCAATTTTTTTTCTCAATCGACGCGATTAAGACGTGAATGCGAGAAATCATATACTGTGAAAGACATCGCGAGTAACATTTGGTGAAGGTGATCCCGGCCACTTGCTCAAAAGGAGTCCGCCGATAACGTCAGCTAAATTACAAAGTAACGAAGAAGTT